CACATTTCTTATTTCTATACATCTCATTAACCAACAGGTAAAGATGACCACTCAGATTAGCAAAATACTCAAGTCAATCTTAAAGTCTACTTGCCCCATTTAACATAAAAAAACATCCTGTTCCCATTAACAGAAGAATGTAAAGGTAAAACTAAATTCCTACCCTCTGCAGCTCTAACTGAGGAATAAAATTTGATTAAAATTGGTGAAGTAAGTATATGTTTGACACACATGCCAACAGTTTAAGACTGGCATAGCAAAACTGAATGAAATTAAGTGACACTTAACATTAATTACACCAAAACAAGTATCAGCTGAGAGTAAACATGAATTATTCTATACTTAGAATTAAATGGTAATATAATTAGAAAAATATTTTTGGAAAAATTGTGCTGAGACTTGCTTGATGCAGGGTTGACATAAGATTTTGATGTGTAAAAAAAAACAATATCTGAGAAGAGCAATAAAGTGAAAGGCAATAAAATGAGCTATGCCTGTAACAGAGTATTAGCTTTGATGTGACATTACAGGTAAAAATTTAAAACACACAACAGTTGATTCTTGCTTATCAATTAGTTGTAATCAATTAATAACAGTTTTGAGAAAATCTATTTTTCTTTTCTTTATAAACTATTCTAAGATCTTCCTTTTTGCTAAAATAATAAAGTTTAGACATTTGTAAAATGTGTAATTATATGTTTGACAGTTGTATTTGTTATATCTTCACCTACTATTAATATGAGAAACCTTGATAATCAAACAATAAATATTCACTTGAAAGAGTTTAATGGACACTTATTTTTCAAATATGCTCTAAGATTTATGAATGCACAGAATAGCAAATATGCTCATATAATAAGATAAGACTTAATTTGGCTTTCTTGGAAGTTTATAATCTGATCCCGATTTAAGCACAGATCTTAAGGTACATCACAGTTGATAAAATGATAATAAAAACAAAAGCAAATAACAACAATAAACAACTCATGAAAACCACGTAAGATAGCATAAGATCAGATCTGAATTTCAGGAAAATTCCTGTTACCTGTTATTGCATGAATGGTGAAAGTTAGAAAATAAAATTTAATTATTTGCCATTGTGATAGTGAATCACACAAAAGTTTTCAAAAACTCTTAAACACAAAAATACATTGACTTTATCTCCTCACAGACTCATTGCGGCACATATGTTAAGTGTATTAAAGTGATACCAGCATGATACCTTGCTAGAAGGAAATAGTGCAGCTTTGGAAAAGAATATGAATGATAGGATACAAAAGAAAGTTTATAGAGACAGAGACAGAGAGGATTCCATGTAATCGGCTACTAAAATTCTTTTTAGTAATTTGAACAAGCTTCCTCTTCCTTTCCTCCTCTACTTTGTCTCCCCCAAGCCCTTCATGTCCTCCTCTACATCTACTCTTTTCCAGTGTGTCACACCCCCTCCCCACATACATATTTAAGTCATGGAAATAGCAAATTCAAGATACAATAAGAAAATACTCTGGAAATACAATGGTTAAAAAGAAAGACAAGTTTCCTGCCCTCATGGAGCTTACATGCTACTAATAAAAGTTGACATTAAATATGTAATTACAATTATGATGATTGTCATGAAGAAAAAACAACCTCCAATCAAAGCTACAACATTTAATTGACAAGTATCAATCTGTACTTCTGAGCTATTAACCAGCCATCATGGCTGGATTTGCCATGTAAATTAATTTGACATTTTCTGATTTAAATGTTTATTCATTTATTTCAGAAAGCCATTAAACTATAAATAAAAATAAATTGTTCGAATGAAATGAATAATTAAATATACATGAAAGAAAAAACTAACCTAAATTCCCTCAATTCTAAACAGAACAGAGAATAGTTAACATTATCAATGACCCTAACAACACCATTGGTAAATTTGAAGCATAAATGAAAGGAAACATAATTTTGCAAAGACCATTTGGATCCAGTTAGCCACAAGTAGCAGAAGTAAGGTTGGATTTGGATAATAACACTCATCAGCTATCCCAAAGAAGCTATAATTCATTGAAACAAACTTATCCTTAACCATATCTATTTACATGTCACATGTTCTGGTTCAGAAATTATGAAAACAAATTAAATAATTGACACTAAAGTTTGAAACAGAATGACCTACAGGATATATGAGGTAATACAGCCTACAGAAAAGAGTGAGAAAGCTTCCATTCCATTCATTCTTTTACCAGTACGTAGCAATGATCCTTGACCTGTCTCCAGATGTCTTAGCTGTTTTGTCATGTATAAATGGTAAGGGATTTTGCAGTTTCCAAACCCTGGGAGATTAATTAGGGAGTATGGAAGGATCCACACCAACTCTGTAAGGATACATGACAAAGTGGTACCACCACTGCTCACCTCTGGAGAGAAGACTGGGGAGGAAGATGAAAGTGGTTATCAGAAGGGAGGATCTCTTTAGATGTTTCTTCTTTCTTCTTCTTTTTTTTTGGTTAATGAAATGCACTCATCTATCTTTGGACATTTAAAAATTCAGAAAATATTTAAGAATCCATACAGAAGAAATCAAAATGATAACAGTAATATTATTGAATCTAATTCTGCCTGGAGTCAATAAAGATATTAATCCACAGACGTCCATTCCAGAGCCCCTGAATTCACTACTCCTAAAGAGGAAAGCGGTGTAAAGAAAAATGTTCCAGGATTACATTGTGATGGAAAGATTTAGGAAGCATGGATTTACAATGCAAATTTATTTTAGAATGGGCAGGCTTAACACCTATTTTATGCACAACTAGGATTTAACCTGATAAAGGAAGCTGCAATGTAAAGTTTCTAGACATTTTTTGACTCTAATAGGTGGCCAAGGCAAAGATATCATCTCAGGAAGACCCTGATTCAATTTATTTTAATGTTTCCTGAATGCTGGTCCCACTTTTTACCACTCTCACAGCACTTTCATTATATAATTAATTTATACATGTCCACATGTTTTCATTTCCCTATTATATTGATGTTCTTTGAATGTGGATGTCATGTCATAGTCAATATTGTATTTTTGCTCTAGAATGCAAATTTGTTGAATTAATTCACAATTACAGAAGGCTGACAAATCACATTTCTTATTTCTATACATCTCATTAACCAACAGGTAAAGATGACCACTCAGATTAGCAAAATACTCAAGTCAATCTTAAAGTCTACTTGCCCCATTTAACATAAAAAAACATCCTGTTCCCATTAACAGAAGAATGTAAAGGTAAAACTAAATTCCTACCCTCTGCAGCTCTAACTGAGGAATAAAATTTGATTAAAATTGGTGAAGTAAGTATATGTTTGACACACATGCCAACAGTTTAAGACTGGCATAGCAAAACTGAATGAAATTAAGTGACACTTAACATTAATTACACCAAAACAAGTATCAGCTGAGAGTAAACATGAATTATTCTATACTTAGAATTAAATGGTAATATAATTAGAAAAATATTTTAAGTTAGGTTTTCATAACATAATGAATATATATATGTGTGTGTGTATATTTAGGAAGTTTGTGTATATACATGGACTCATACAAATACATACATGCATATATACAGACACACATACACACACATATATACTTCACTTAGCCAGTAAAATAAAATACAAACACAGATCCCTCTAAGTCATCCTAAGTCCTAGTACTAAGGAACATGATGGGAAATGAGAACTTATAAAGGGAAGTGGATAGGACTTTGGCCTAAAAAAAAAAAAAGAGTTTAGAAAGCACCCCAAGTGGTATACAAAAATCTCTAGAAGAATCATATATTGTTATTTGCATAGTACCTGGAAGGTTTATAATGAGATTAAGCTATATTATTGGAAAATGGTTGACCAAAACACAAAATGCAATAGCTTATGTTCTCTTTCTTATTGGCTCAAAATATCCAAACAATATTTGTTTCTAAAGCTCTATTTTACACATTTAAATTTTGATACCATTTATTATTTATTGCACAGCTCATGTTCAGGTGTTTTTTCAAGCAGAAGTTTCTCTGCTAGATGACACAAATATATGGATGCAGAACTGTGAGCTTTGGTTTCAATTCACCAGATTAAGTTTCAGAACATAAGAGAGATTCAGAAAATTGACAGATAAGACACATTCCTGCATTAGAGTAACCAAAAACAAAAGCAATCAACAAAAACCCCAAAAAATTAGAAACCAAGAGACCAAAGGTACATTCACTGATAGGTAGTTAAATGGTTAGTTTAAAGGCTATGGTACATATTTACCACAGCTGCATATCATCAACTTCATTTTAATGAAAACACTAAACACAATGTGGATGGTTCTAAGTGGGGAATTAAACATGCTTTTAAATTTGGCACCAATGCTGTCAAAGAGTACACATGCCTGACTTACCAAGTGATGCAGGAATGTAATACCTGGTTGATAACGTTCTTAAAACAGATATCACAAAAGAAAGAACAGACTTGTCTTGCCTTTTTTTTTGTCTCTTTCACAAGATTGCCTTTTCAGGTTATCATGGAGTTAATGAGTATATATGACATCTAGCAGACAACAAGGTGATAAGCCCACAGCAGCACTATTTCAGTGATGCACATGCTTAGACTTACATCCCAATGCAGAATGGCTGGAGCAGATGTGTTCCATAGTTAAATACTTGAAGTTGATATATTTATGGTGACTATACTCATCATTTAATCACCATTAAATGATACTGTAAAAACTGACACTGAAGCCTGTAGCTAACGTCTAAATATATTAATTACATAAACAGATGACATGAAAAAAAAATCACTCTAAAGAGCAAGAAAAAACAGTGAAACATTTTGATGGATTTTTCTTACCTTAAATTCATTAACATATTCATTCACACCCATACCTACCTCCTATTGCCTAATACTAATGCCAAAAGTTCTAAATACATTTGCATAACTTAGACACACTGTAATTCACAGAGATGATATTAAGAAGAAATAAAATAATGTACTACCTTTACTTTTACCTATGGATTTGATGAAATGGTTCCATGAAGAAAGGATTTCCATACAAAGAGAATAAAGAGGAGAGAAACAACAATAAGAATTATGAATATATGTAAATGCACTACTCTTTGAAAATTTAACAAGACAAGAAGGTATAAACCAGGGTTTGAAAACAAATGGAAATACAGTCAGTACATACTGGGAAAAGTGCTTTTTATAGGCAATACATGCAAGAAACTTGGAAAGCCCATGCTCACTTTAAAAGATTATACGAAAAGGAGATACACAATGACTGTAGGTAGAAAAATTATTGATTTTTGTGGAACACTATACTCAGCATTCTAGAAGCCAAAAGCAAAAAATGTCTGCATGTTCCCAAACTGCCATGCATGGGTGAAAAATGGACTCTTTGTGTACAGTAGGTAAAAATGAATATCCTCTTTCAGATATTAACTTCTGACGGTTCTTGGTTTTTCTTTACTATAACTACCCTTAACTACATATGCTAATAAATGTATGGAAACTTTCTGTCACAAATTATTATGTCTCATTTATTTGCAGATACTATAGTGCAGAGCATGAAGGAAAATAAAAGTCAAAGGAGTAAACCAAAATCAAACCAACAAATAAAGGGGAGAAAAACACATGAAAAAAGGTGAACAAAAGTTACGTGTTTAATTTGCAGCCAGATTATTTACAAGCACTTGTCCATCCTTTGCAGTGATGGTTTGAAAGCAGCTACAGAACAAGAAAACACTGAAAGCAGAGTGGAAAAGGAACAGAGCCCATACCTTGGTCGCCCATCATCAGGTGCGCCAGACCTTGAAGGGAAACAAGAGCACAGTCAGCAATAAACAAGGGAGCATGGGAAGGCAGGGTTGTCACGGTGACAAAAATGTTCGGTGACAGACATTGTTTTCCTATGAGACATGTCTGTATCACAGAGGCAAATCAAAAAGCATTCTTTCAACCCCTGGTTGGAATGCTTTGGGGCAAAGAGCTCCAGAACTGCAATTTAAACACTGGCATGTGCTGCACTGTGTATTTCTTCTATGTATCAGTTGGAACAATCGAGAGCATAAAAGCATGACTTAAAATCCAACCAGTCCCTAAATATTGCATTTGCCCTTCATGCCCTTTGATGAGACTGTTTTGAACACTGCCCCACAGGGCTTGTCATTCTTCAGTGATGACATTATATTTTTAAAAACCCAAAAGAATACCTGAAACATGGGCTGGGTCTGATCTTTTTCCCCTCATCAAAAAATGAAAAGTCTTATAATTAAATGAAAAACAAAAATCCTAGTCACACTGAAATGATAATACAGAAATGCCTCCTTGTCTGACACATGTAGCAACTGACTAAGCTTGTTCAAATACAAAAAAGATCATTAGACATGCAGTTGTAAAGTTAGTATTTACTACAGAATAATGTTTTTAAGAACAATGGATCAGCTTTAAATAGGCTCAAGTAATTTTCCAGGGAGAACAAAATTATTTAGAATTTTACCTAAACATGACTTAAATACTAAACTATGAGTTAATGTGAGTATATATATAATACATATAACACAATTTTTCAGCTTTCTAAAAAATTTTAATTTCCTTTATTTAAATCATTATCTCTTGCTTGACAACTAACTTCAGATTGACAATCACACCTTTTCTAAAAAATACTGCTAATGTTTAAAAAATTTTCCTCACTATCCAAGAAGATACTTTTTACTGAAAGGCATTAATTGCTAGTTCTTTATTCTAAATTTGGAAATAAAGCTACTCCTCAATTTGTGTATGTTTCAAGAGTAGAGCAAAAAGTTAGAACAATATAATATACATACACAAATTTTAAAAACATTTATGTTTTTTCCCAGTGTTATTTCAAATATATTTGAGTATTTGAGCTACATAACATTATGTATCACTTGTACCAGTATTGAACTAATCTGTGTCATTTTCTTAAATTTTAGGGGTGTTTAAACATCCCTGTGGGGCAGATAAGATTACAAATCATATAATCACAATATGAAAATTACTTAACATAGTAGTTTAATGTTTCCGTAATCTAGGCTTTAGAAATATTTTCTGGGTGATTTTAACAACAACAAAAAATCACACAAATAAAAAGTTTATGATGTTGAGTGTTTCATATTTTTTATATATGGTTAACAATAGCATCTTCTCTGTGCAGGTCACATAATTTTTCACTTTATTCACTTTTAAAACAATTATACATATTTCCTAATAACCATTTATAACTTTTTTATAGATTAAATCAGGGAATTATCTCTGTACAAGATCTAACTTTTAGAAAATATTTTGGATACCTCTAGTGGTTTTTAATATCACTTTAGTAGTAATAGAGATTAACAAATCTTAAAAGCATTCACATTCCTCATGTTAGACTTAACTACCTGTAAAGGAGCTTGTCTATATTGCCAAAGTTGAGTTATAGAGAGATGTTAAAATTATGACTGAATAAACTTCATTACAATAGTTTACTGTATTCTCTGAAAATGTAAAATGTTGTCAAAATTTTTCATGAGATAAATGTGTATGAGGAGAGAGGCATTCTTGCTTATCAGGCTGATTTTGAAGCCTTGAAATGCAGTTGGATTTAAAGAGAAAAGAATAAAAACATGTAACATTTTACAGGATGGTTTAGGAAATGCAAAAGAAATTGAAAAAAATACTTTTTTAAAAAAGCTTTCAATCTCAACAACCACAATATAAATGAGACTGATTTTGAAAAATGTCAGACCTACAGGGTTATATCATCTTTATCAAGTCTTCATAAGGTATTAAAATTATAGTACAGAAAAACAGAAGTCATATACAGACTCAGCACTTGGAGAAGTAGTCATTGATGATTTCTTTTGAAGTTTTAATCTATTTTACTTAAATAATGGAAGAGAAATGCTCAGCAACTAAGCAATTATATTGTACATGAAACAATCACAAATAATATGCTGAAACCTGCTACTGATCAACTTTGTATTACCATAAAGTATTTTTTTATAAACATCAGATCTTAGTCACTTAATGGCTATTTATCTGTAACCTTAGAGGGGGACTCTTTTTCTAAGAAATCCATCATTCTGTAGAAATGCACATTGTTCTTACAGAATGGCTATATTTCAAATTTTGCAGCAAAATAAAATGTGCTAAACACTTTTTTAACATAGATATAACAGTAAAATGTTTATGCAAGAATGTTAATACTGTGACTATGTTAGTAGATAGAACATCAACTTTCTTTCACAATTCTTTGCTCTACTAGTACCTGTTTGCATTTTTATTCTTTAGAGATTTGTTTGGCAGCCCTTCAACTAATGCATTTAGTTCTTTAAAGATAAGAATGCTGAAATATGTTTTTGTTTTACTGTATTCTACAGGAAAATATTGTTTCACTTTCTGAAAATTCTTTGATAATTTTAGAAAAACTCAAATAAGTATTACATTTCACAGACACGGAATATTACAAATATACTCACCAGTAGTCACACCAGAGTGCTGTATTTCCATTGGCCAATGGCTTATTTTTACACTTAAATTTATGCCTCTTACTTATAAATCAGTACTTTATTCTGTGTTCTTTTTCTAAATCAAATCATTTGAAACTAAATCAATGGACTGGAGACAATGTAATGCTAAACATTTCCAAAATCATTTTGATCAAGAAAAAAATGAAGAAAGGATCATGCACTGTGTTCTGAAACTGCAAAGAAATAATTTCTCACTTAAGATAAAAGAGGCAGGATTGTATCATTTTTCCACATAGAACATAGTGATAAGTATTCTAAGGTTTATATGGATACCAAAATCCATCAAAGATGTGATGGGATGCTAAAAATCCATCAAGGATTGGGGCTAAGGTTGAAGGAGTTTCAAATACTTGGGGTTGATAAGGTTGAGAGGGTGGGTGTTCTACATGAAAAGTGATACACAATCCAGAAATCAACAAATGCTCAGAAAGAAGTTCAACTTACCGTCTAACTTTGAGATGTACTCTATTGATACTAAGAAATAAAAGGCAAATGAGAGTTGGAAAAAAGTAGAAAGCACCCACCTTCCACATTGTTGTCTTCTGAAAGCACATGACAAGGAGGGAGAGAAAAGGAAAAACATTCATTAAGCAGCATGCAGACTGGACCTTGCCTTTGCATGTCTTCCTCATGCAAGGCACAAAACACATCATGCAAGTAGTCCATTGCTACCATTCAAAGAGGAAAACAAAATCGCAGGAAGCGGGTTCCCTCCCATTGTCAGCATTTAAAGAATGTGAGAGAAAATTTCAGTGATACTGCCATGACCCGAACAAGCAATTTTAAAAATTCTTTAAAATACTGCCCTTTGTAAAGCAAACATTAGTCTATTATTCTAACATATTTTTCTTGGGTGATTGTTTTTAAAGCCTTTAATTTTTTTACAGTCCTAAAATACTCTATTTCTAAATTCTGATTTGGATTGGATGAAAGAAAAGTCCATTGTAAACAGCCATGAAATTTCACTTAAAGATACACCATCTCTATAAACTATGTAATCCATTTACCATCATGATCTTTAAGTATTTTCTAGTACTTAAATTTCTTCCTTAAAGAATGTATGCAACTAAAATCTACAATTTATTTAGTTTATTTATAGTGTGTCCACATATTATTGAAATAATGGTAGTATATTGTAACTTATTAAAATGCTAACTTTAAAAATGTTAAGTAGAAAAAGTGATTACTGAAGAAAAGTCCATATGGGATCTGTCCCTTAGGCAAAGTTATCATGATTTATCCACTTTGCACTTCTGTTTTGGGTGTGAATATGAAGGCAGTCAAGCTAATGACAATATTAGGTGAACTTTTCCTTGTATTTCCAATATATCTATTTAATATTAATATATTTTCATATATTTAAGTAAGCATATTTTATATGTGTATATATAAACATACATATACAAGCAGAGGTTGCCTGTATTTCCCCCATACAATCAATGTATTGGACTTAATCTATTATTAGTACTTAGAGACAATTCAGTACTATTTGAGACATAGGGTTTGGCATCCAGATAAGACATGGAAAGGAAAACTGGTATATGGGACTAGGGAAAAAACAAGTTTTCAGTACTTATCAATATTTTTTCAATAGTAAAGTGTATCCATGATGATTTTTCTATTCTCATTATTTTATTTAATAAGCTGTACTCTTTAATATGGTCATTTGATCAAAAGTGTTTATAACAGAACAAAACAACAGCAAGTATAGAAACTTATGAGAAAAAATCTATAAATGCACCAATTTATAATGTTCAACAAATAACTTTTTTAATGGTTGAAGTTACTAAAGAATTAAAAATAATAAATTTTTAAAAATATATTAGATGGAAAATGAAATATCAACATAGACACATTTACTGAGGTGGTCTTAATATATACTAAAGAATAGGGAGTGAATAAATGAGGATGATAACAGCTATACAAATACTTGGTTTGCAAAAGTTTATTTTATAAGAAATAAGGAAAAAGTGATTGATATATTAGGTATGTGATATTCATTTCCTGTTTGGTTTTGGTTTCCAATCTACCAAATAAGGAATTGGATTGAATTTGTTATTTTTCAATGGCAACTCTTGACATGAAATGGACACCAAGACCAAACTTTTGTTCACTACTTTGTACTGGAAGTATAAAGATGTAAATTATTTTTTTGCTTAGGATACACTTCAGTTTTGCAATTTGGTTATATAACTGTCCTTTAAATTTTTATTTCACATTTAAGATGCTTGATTTTTTAATAAGATTATTTAATATGTAGAGTAAAGCAATAAAATCAGGGAATTTAGAGAACAATTAAGTGCTAAGATGGTATATCAATTACTATGGCACTATTTAATTTCTGTAAGCAAAAGATTGGCAGATATGGTTTAAGCTGTACAGTCCCAGAAAAGGGTTTTAGTAAAGTGCTGCATGAAAGTCTAATAGGAAAAGAAAAATGGAAAGCAAACTAACAAAATAAAACAGGCCAGCACTTGACACTGATTTTATAAAAGTGCCAAGTAGGATATATTAGGAAAGAAAGCTGTGTTAATAAACACCATCATTGATTGGTCCCCTGAAAGTGAGATCTCATTTCACTGTTGCCTACAGCACAAGACCATAGGTGGTACCATTGGGCCTGTCCTGCCATTCAGCATATTTCTTGAGTTCTTACTCCTAACAAGAACCAGCTTAACTAATGGGATTCTTTGTATGCAAATTGAGTCACGCCAATGTGAAAACAAATTTTGACTTGACCAAGTTCAGAAAAGGGAGAGAGAGAAAGAAAGAAAATCAAAGTACTAGAGTAAAAAGAAGGGTACTATATTAACTCCTATTTAAAAATAGAAAAAGAGGAGTAGAAAAAGAAGTCTGGCTTGGAATAGACTTTCCTTGAATTTCCATATATTTTCAGAGATTCAGTCATAAGATAAAAAAACCTACTATGGTATTCTAAGCTACCGCTTTGGTATCCATTTGCTGTGGATTTAAAATCTGTTAACCTAAAGATGATCCCTACATTATTTCAAAATTTGGACACAGCTATAAATGGGAGTAACTCTAGCATTTACATTCATTTTCCAGGGTTTGTTTTTTTTCCCCTTCCTTTTCTCCTTCATTTCTACTGGATTTTTGGACTAAACAAAGAATACTAAGTTTAAAATGAATAGCTTTTCTCAGCACATCAACCTTTGCTTTCCCTTGGTAGATTCCTATGCAATCAAACAAATATAATTTTGGTTTTGAGCAGCAACAGAGAGAAGTGCTGAAACAGGCATGCCACCATGTAAAGGTAAAGCAGTATCTTTTGTATTATTGTAAGATAGAAAGCAGTCCATCCAACCTTTCCTGCAGACATTGTCAAATTAGGGAAAAGGTCTTGGTTTGCAGAAAACCCTGGATTTTCACTTCTACTGACCTAAGCCTGCTGTGTATATTGAAGTGAATCTCTTAGTAATCAACAACTACAACGACCGTGCTGCTTTCACAGATAACACTCTTTTTTCTTTTCTTTTGATTGTGAAAATGGCAAATGCAGAACCATAAAAAATATCTTAAATTTTATTTTTCTTTCAGATAAGATATTTTTCCCTCATAAAGCTGGGAATTAAGCACCAGAATATCAGTCATGTTATGAATGATGGTTGTGGGCTGACATTAAAGGAAGCTGAAGATTGTTAAATCATACGTTTTAAAATACTTCAAAAGAGTATCTCCACCACTTTTTTTCCTTTGGTCCCCAGCTTATAAGAATGCAAGGGCAACAGTAATTTTAATATATCATTACAGTGTTCTTTGCACACAATATTAATTACATCTAGGAAAAGAGAAATGAAAAAGAAAACAAATGTGCTTATTTCAATATAAAGCAAAGCAGAAATGTAATTACGAACAGTGGACAAACTGAAGTTTGGAATGAAATGTCATTCCAAATGATTCTTTTTGTATAATCAGTGTCTAACTTTGGCAATATGAAAGCTTCACCCAAATGTACAAGCAATAGTCAACCTGTGAGCTACATTCTATACTAAAAATTGGCCAAAGAAGTCTCCTGTCACCACACAGGCAATCCTTCTGTGGTTTCCTTCCTTCTCTTCTAGTTGCCTGTGACTGACTCCCTTCATTTTCTTCAGCTCCCTCTCTCCTCCATCAAAACTGCCACTACCACAGGTGGCTTCCCACCCAGATCTATGTCATCCAAGGTGGGGTACACAGTAGCAAAAGAGGTGGCAGCACTAGGCAGCAGAAGGAAGAATGCAGAATTAGATTATACTTCTTTCTCACATACTTTGAGCTTGCTATCATCTATCCTTGCCTTTCTAGCCCCTCATATTAATGTTCAAGGCTCTACTCCTCATTTGGGGGATTTAAATGCCAGTAGAACAGAGCCTAGTTTCCAATAGTGGCACAGGATGGAGCTTTGTTTTATTTTATTCTTCTGTTGGTGTTAACAGTGAAAGACTTCAGAAAACCTCCCTAGTCTGGTAATGCTTCAAGGACTGGGAAATGGAGGAAATGACTGAAACTGTGGATTTGTGCGGCACTCAGCTGGAGAAACAGAAAGGCTGGCCCGAACCAAGAGGAGGTTCAAACAGAAAGTCAAATATAAAGGCACATTACAGAGGCTTAAGGCAGGAAAGAAACACCCTGGGCAGTAATCTGCTAGTTTCTAAAATGACTTTTTAACTGGAGGCCTCTGCACCTTATTTCAAAAACACCTAAATGACACTTCCATCCAGCCTATGGGAATCCCAGTCCTAGGGCATGAAGGGAGACAACAAGAACACCTATTTTTTCTCTTCTTCACTCTTCTGGGAGTTAAAGGAGGGGTATCTCTAAACCAACTTGCAGCAGCAGAGATGTTCCTGGCATCACATTTAAGAACCATAAAAATGTCTTCTCCAGGAGCATTATGGGTAACACCCTGACTATACTTTTGGCACAATGCTATGACTCAAGTATATTGTGGAATGAATGAGCCTTTCAGGAAGTGGTCTGAGAAGTTTACCTTGCCTTACAGTGTTGTTTCCTGAAGGAAGGAAGGAAGGAAGGAAGGAAGGAAGGAAGGAAGGAAGGAAGGAAGGAAGGAAGGAAGGAAGGAAGGAAGGAAAGAAGAGAAAGAGGGAGGAAGGAAACTTGATTATATTGCAGATTCTTTTGGTATTTAAACTGTTAAATGGACCTGGTGGAACTTAATAATTATTAGTCAATGTATTAAAATATACATTGACTTCTTCACATAAACTATATTGAATACAATTTCAAGTTTTCTTCATGAGGGATTATTAAAAGGACTTTGTTTTGATTTATAGCCTCAATTCTTCCCTATCTCTAAACTTTGAGAATTACCATTTTTATATTCATTTCAGTAGCTGGACTTAGAGAAGGAACATTGCCTTTAACAGTGACCATAAAAATTGTGACAAGCACAATGTATAATGTATGTTCTCATATCACTCATTTTTATTGTTTTACTGCTTACTGAGAATTGAATATTTCCTGATATGAAATTGACAGATAACATTGAACAAGGTGTCACCCTGTATTTTCCCACCAAACT